CAAAAAAAATGTCTTGAATATGAATCACTTATTTAAATGCACTTGATATTTTCACAAAATGTAGAAGTTGAATACCTAAGAAAGATGTGTTCCTTTTTTTGCATTTTATTTCCTTTAAAAGTGGTGGGGAAACTTGATATTCAACATCCAACCTTCATTTTAACAAGAATCAGAAAATTGTCAAAGACAAACTGTTTTTCATCATACAAATGACTTGATCACAGATAATAAAATTGCACAAACCTCAAAAGCCTAAATAACCATGTAAATGGGTTCTATGTTTTTTGAGACAGATGGTGGATCGCAACTGTGATAGGTTATGAATTCCAAAAAGATTGTCCTCCAGAATATAACATAAAATGACTGAAGAAGTAGATTTAAAATATAAAGTGGAACCAAAAATATAAAAAAATCACATCATTTTTTAAGAGATCAAGAAGACAGAAACAGAGAACACAAAGATTGTATTGAAACTACTCTGGGAAGAAAACTTTTTTATTTTTTAAATCCTCACCAGAGGGTATTTTTATTTATCTTCAGGTAGAGTGGGAAGAGTTGAGAGAGAGAAAGAGAAATAACAATGTGAGAGAGACACATCAACTGGTTGCCTCTTGCACAACCCCAACCAGGGCCAGGGACCTAACCGCAACTGAGGTATGTTCTCTTGACAGGAATCGAACCCGCAACTCTTTGGTCCACAGGCCAGCATGCTAACTGCTGAATCAAACTAGCCAGAGCAAGAAAATCATTTTGAGTTAAAATATTATGCATATGTTAACTGAAGAAAATTGGAATGTGTTTCAATATGATGAGTAATGCTTTCTGCTTTATTCCATCTCATGTCCAAGATTGTAGAAAACTGTAGCCTACTGTGTCTGTCAACCACCTTATCATTTGCCATTGTCCAGAGGTATGCCCACCAACCCTGGTCATTGTTGGGAACTCTTAATCTCCTGTACTAGCTTTTAGCTAGAACTATTACGGAAGAGAATTATGGTCTAATTAATGCAATCTTGCATTTCAGTAACACAAAGGAACACAGATTAAAGTATAAACTGCTCTATCTAGGTAAAGATGGACAATCGTTATTTGTCAAAAGGCCAATAAAAAATGAACTCCAGGAAGATATGGGCAAATATGGTGTAGAGAAAAAAAAACAGGAGTGCTAATTTCAACACTGACTCCCTTCATATGTATTCTCAGGTCATTTAGCTATATTATTTTATATGTACACACACACACACACACACACACACACACGTACCACCTGCTCCTGCGTGCATTCCCGGCCTCATTTCCCACAACTCTTTCTCCCTTTCTCTACACTCCAGCTCAGCCCATTTTCTCTCGGGATGTGTTGTGCTTCTTCCTGACTCAGAGACTTCATACCTGCTCTTCCTCTGCCGAGGCCCTTCTTCCCATTAACCAGGGTAACTCCTATTCAGCCATTAAGTCTCCTTTGTCATTTCCTCTACTACAGCTTCACAGAAACTTGCAGGTTTCCTTCAAGATCGCCATCCCAGTTGTGATTAATTGAAATGTCTGTGTCTTAGGTAAATGACAAGCTTCAAGAGAAGAAGATTCTTCTCCTTTTTTTTTTTTTTTTGCACAAACTGTATTCCTAGTGCCTAGTACAGGAATCACTTAATGAATGTTAGTTGAATGAAAGATTCTCTTGACAAGGTATTATTTCAACACTTCACCAAATCCTGCTGATGCATATGGAAAGACCAATGCTTGGGGTTCAAAAGGAAAGCCTCCTCTTGATATATAATTGCTTGGCTTTATTTACCTTGGAGATCCAGGTGCAAACTTCAAGGCTTTCCCTGTGGATATTTTGGTGACCAGGAAAAGTAACAGATCTCTGGAATTTAGGATTAGATGAGAAATAGAAAATGTCTCTGGCCTAGTTTGCTTGGAGAGGGAAGTGATTGGCCTCATTAATTTTAATTGGTGTGCAATGGAGACTTTATGGACCATGGCAAGGAGAGATCCCCCCAACACACAGACTATAAGTGGTAAATGACAGAGGGTCTTCATGAGACCTAGGGTAACTTCATGGAAACCTGGAGCATATTATAATCTACTTCAATATAAGGTTTGTTGGTTATTTTAAAATAATGCAGTGTGGTCATAGTACTTATGAGAAAGGAGCCCCTGGTCTTGGGAGTAGGATGATTGAAACAAAGGTCATCAAGGTGAGTGTGGACCAGTAAAAGTGCTACCATGGTCAAGGTACATTGCTGATTTGCTGTGTGTTATACATTACAAAAGTCGAGCTGACTGAGATCTGACTTCTCGTAGACAGAGCTATCAGACAGTCCTGCTCAAAACTGTATTGTTGCTCTGGCTGGTTTGACTCAGTGGTTAGAGTGTTGGCCCATGGACCAATGAGTCGCAGGTTCGATTCCAGTCAAGGGCACGTACCTCAGTTGCAGTTCTTCCCTGGCCCTGGTCGGGTTGTACGGGAGGCAACCAGTCAATACATCAATGCTTCTCTCTCTCTCCCTCTCTCCCTCCCACTCTATCTGAACAAAAATGGAAAAATATCCTAGGGTGAGGATTAAAAAAGAACTGTATTGCTGAGTTGGTATAGTATTAACATTCATGCATGCTTTCATTTTGTCCCACAGACCACCAGTATGTTTGGGAAATGTTGCACCTATAAGCCTTTCTTGGAGAGTCACAGTGTGCATAGTACATTGATGGGTAGTCCTGAACTCAAGAAGTCTTCCACTCATTTGACTGTGAAAACTTGTATTTTGGAAAACATGTATATGCCAATCAGTAGTCTTAAGAAGGCTGCTGTATTGAACAACCTCTAATCCTTCGTGGTTTAAAATAAGGTTTATTTATCTCCCCTGTTACATATTCATTGTTGGTGACTGGAGATCCTGTGCCAGGTGGGTCTGATGCTGGGATCTAAGCATTTCTGGTTGCTCTACCAGAGAAGATGAACATGGAAGAGAGACTGTTCCATTATGTAACCACTGTCTGTCCCATAAGCTGGACCCAGGCCAGAACGGAGGTTGCTTTCCACAAATCCCCCCTAGAGATGGTCTGAATGTAATTGATGTCCATTCTGACATAAATTAGCATCCTTCACCTGCCTCCTGCTATGTGCTGGTTTCTGGAACAGGTTGTTGTTCTGACCTGGTTAAGCATGTAAAATAATTTCTGTATCTGGTAGCATGCACACACTAGTACCCGTAACTATCACTTCTTCACCATGTATAATTCTTTGGCACCTGATAAATGGCCCAGGGACCCATTTTGTGTTGCAGCCTCCCAAGACAGACCTTGTATGTAAGTTTCCCTTAATAAACTCTATTACCAGACTGGAGTGGCCAGCCTCTTTCTTCAGTTTTTCCCTGCCCTCTGTTTACGAAGGTAGATTTTTATCTTGGGTCTCTTCTCTGGGTCTGTGTGCTCAAACAGTGAGCTCTGGAGGTTTTCACAGTGAATGTTCTACTCTGAAGGTCACACTTGAAATTTTGGCTCATAACTCATTGGCTAAAACTAGTCACATTGGCCCACCCAACCATGAGGGGCTGAGGAGGTACTGTCCTACCACATGCCTGGAAAGTAGACAGACAGCCAGAAATATTCCGTAAACAGCACTAACAACTAAACCTGTTAACCTGACTGAACACCGATGGTCATTGAAATACAGTTGGAAATCAGTCCTGTTCATGGTTTTAAAAATAAGAATCGATAATAATTACTATTCAGGAATGTTTACCATTTGTGCTAAAGTTACACAACTATATTTAATCAGGAATAAGAAATGGAAGGCTGATTTTTTCACCCTTATCTGGGATAGGGGGATGGGTGTCAAAAGAACAATTCTTTGGGAATATTCTATGAAAACAACTTCTTTTTTACTTAAAGTCTCTAGTAAATTCTCACAACAGATAACAAAATCTTTTTCCAGCCAATTTTTCATTGCTTCTCCACAGTACAAATGCTTTATAATAGAAAGCATGGATACTTCCACAATAGCCTGTTTCTAGACTGCTAGAGGGAGGTATAAATGCCCATGCACAATGTCTTCTTCACAGATGTGCTGAGTTAATGCTACCATCAGATAAATCCCATGATGTCAATGAAGTTGGCATGGAATTCATCTAAAGAAAAAATTATGTGCATTTTGTATTACTTTCAAAACCTTAGAAAATTAATTTCTGCTGAAGTCTACCTAATCAAATGATATAATGCCTTGGTATCTTGTTTGATAGTTGTCTGTCATTGTATCACATAATGACATAGGACAAAAAGACAGTGATGATGTTCAGAAATAGTACTTTGGTTTTAAGATCTTATCTCCTGCATACCAAACACAATGAAGGTATTTCATGGTTATTTAAAAATCCTTGATTCACTGTTTCTGTGACAAATACAGGGCATGTTAAATTCATGTCATTTACTCAGCCACCTCCAGTTCCTCCCTGGTTCTTATTTACATATTTCCTATATACAATCATAAATAAATTACCTAATGAATGTAAAGTGCTTTGATAAGAGCCTGGCACATAGTAGTCACTAAGTGGTGTTTGCTATCATTGTTATTATTATTTCATGTGTTACAAGCGATGCTCTGTATGTCTCATGCCATGCAGATTCTAAAGTATGGTTAGCTTTAGCAAGTTCAGCCCAGTCCTCCCAGCAGGGAGAAAGTCTAATATGCAAGGCATCTTCAATATTACATTTTTCTTTTTGGCGACGAACAGGCAAATCACTTTAGAAATGATCAAAGTGATAAAAAAAATGTGTTTGGAAGATTTTGTTGTGTGTTTGTACCTCTAGATAAACGTTACTAAGTGATTACCTGAAATGGTAAATGTTAAGAACAAATTAAAAAGTCTACCACAAAGATGTACTGATTAAAACAGCCCCTTCTCATATTGTATTACCTTCCGACTGTGGTAAGTCATTTGCAATATTATTAAAGTATTTCACTATATATTTTATTTTTACAATAATGAATCTGGTATGCTCTACTCTCCTTTGGCTTGTTATACGTCACTCATTCCATTCACTTGCAGCATCATCTTCACGTCTATGTGGTTCTACTGTTGACTGTTGAAAAGAAGATGACTGTCTGTGTTTCACGGAAGTCAGCTCAGAATGTACCTCAGTTGCTGAGACTTTTGCCTCCCAGAAAGTCTTTACTGCCGCCCTGAGAGAGAAAACAAAAACAAAAAATCTCTTATGTGAAGGGAAAACTAAAAATGGATTTATGTTTTATGCTCTCTATATAGAAGTGCCTCCTTAGTCATGATTCATTTTTAGTTTGTGGTACATCGGTTGCATTGACAGTAGCTCCCTCAGATGTAACAGGGTGTGATACTCAAATACGTATTAGATATAGTCCCATGTAAATGCATTAGTAGGTTACAATAGCCAGTTTGGGAGGTTGTGATAACTACAACTGGACAACACAGATATTCATTCAATAAACTTTTTAAAAAGCTACTATGTAAAATTGTAAAAATTGCATTTAAAAACTCTCTCAGAGTTTGGAAACAAGTCATGAGATTAGGTAGCCTGTACTAGGACAGTCACAGGAGTTGGACAGTTTGAAGACACATGTGAGAGGCATCATGGACTGGGCTTTGGATTCATGGGACAAGGGAGAGGCAGAGAAAAAGACATCAATCAAGGGTGAGACTCAGTCTCAGTCCTTCACCTACCAGTTTATAATTATGAAGATCAGTACAAAGATCACAAATATACACATAACAACTCCAATGGTCAGCACAAAAACTAGGACTGCATCAGTGTCTGGTCGTCTCGATCTTTGCATCTGCAATTCTAGAGAAAAAAACACATACCTGATGATTATTACTACTGGGAGAAAAAAGAAATGAATATCTAAATGGAAACTTTGTATGTGAAAAACAACTCTAGAAATATACAGAAAGAATCAGTGGACAAAAAATTGTTAATTAACTTGCTCTGCACATTTAAAATGTCCTTTTCAAACATGCAGAAAGTTGAAAGACTTTGACAACAAATATTATGTATTCCTACCACCTAGATACCACCAACATTTTATAATCTATCCATACTTTTGCCCCATCTTATATTTTTTATGAATTTCAACATACTTTGCTGATGTCTGTACACTTCCTAGCAAAATTCTGCAACTAGCATGTCATTAACTATATAGTTCAGTATTATATTTTTTCTTTTGTGGTAAAATTTCAAACAGTAAATTGCACAAAGATCTTAAATATACTTTTGTCTAGTTTTGATATAGGCAAACACACATATGTAATTTAAACCCCTATCAAGACACAGAATATTACTGTCACCCAGAAAGTTCCCTTGAGCCCCGCCCAGCTAGTCCCTGCTCCCTCTTCCACAGACAACAACTGTGCTATTTTTCTTTTCCACCACACACTAGTTCTTCCTGTTCCTGAACTTCATAGGAATGGAAAAATACACTATGTAATTCTTTTGTGTAGGGCTTTTAAAATCAATAAAATGTTTTAGAGATTCACCCATATTTGCACATATATCAATAGTTTTCTTTTTTATTAATGAGTAGTATCCCTCAATTTGTTTATTCATTTTCCTATTGATGGACATCTAGGTTGTTCCAATTTGGAGCTATTATAAATAAACTGCTATGAACATTTTTGGAGAAGTCATTCTGTGAACACACATTTTAATTTCTCTTGGATAAATACGTATGAGTAAAACTGCTGGGTCAAAGGGTAGAGGTATGCTTAGTTTTCCAAGAAACTACAAGATCTTTTCTTAAACTGATCATATTGATTGTACATGTTTTATAATTTTTTTCAGATTTTGGCTTGCCTATTTATTTTTCTAATGATCTGTTTTAATAAACAACAGTTTATAATTTTGGTGAAGCCTAATTTATCAATGTTTCCTTTTATGGTGATTGTTTTCTGAGTCATGTACAAGAAACTCTTGCCTATTCCTGAATCAGACAGGTGTTCTGTTTCCTTTTTAAAGCTTTATGGATTTAGCTTTTGCATTTAGGGCTATGATACATCTCTTATTTTTATACATGTTGTAAGATAGGGGGTTGAAGTTCATTGTTTTCCATACAAATATTTACATAGCATTTTCAGGCATTTTCTCCCAAATCTTTATCCTATTCCTCAAATAAAGACAAAGTCAGTCTACCATATGTATTACAACATTGATACATTGTAAATTGGTGAAAAGCCAATTTACATCAACCATTGCTTACTTTGTGAGTTATATAGCTTTCTTGCCTATTCAACTGTTGAATCATACTGATAAGTAAGCCAATGTCCAAGGAGGTTTAATGATTTCTGCAAGTTGTATTTTAATATTTTAATTTTGATAAGTACCACTCCATCAGAAGTAGTCTCCTATATGGGCAATCTCAATTGCTTATTTGTCTGAAATTTTTTTTCAACACTGTGGAGTATAACTTTCCATTTTCCTTAGTAAGTCTAGTGTTATACACTCAATTTAGTGACCTCATTGAATAGTGCCAAGTATGATAGAGAAATTATATAATTATGTTTCCAACATTTTTGGATTTAAAAAATCTTTTTGATTTTGATAATTTTAGATTTTTAGAAGATGTGGGATTTTTTGAGTTCAAATAAAAGACACCTTGCCTGGCCTATGTGGCTCAGTGGTTGAGTGTCAACCCATGCACCAAGAGGTCGCCAGTTCGATTCCCGGTCAGGGCACATGCACAAGTTGTGGGCCAGATCTCTACTGCAGGGCATGTAGGAGACGGCCAATCGATGTTTCTAACTCTCCTTTCCTCTCTCTCTAAAAATCAATAAAGAAAAAAAAATTTAGCCCTGGCCGGTTTGGCTCAGCGGTTGGAGCATCCGCTTGCGGTCCGGAGAGACCCGGGTTCGGTTCCCGCTAAGGGCACGTACCTCGGTTGCAGTTTGTCCCCGGCCCTGGTTGGTCGTGCGGGTGGCAGCCACTCCATGTGTCCCTTTCACATCGATGTTTCCCTCTCTCTCTCTTCCTCTCTCTCCCTCCCACTCTGTCTGTACAAAAAAATGGAAAAGTGTCCTCGGATGAGGATTAAAAAAAAAATTTAAAAAAAAAAAAAAGAAAAAAAATTTAAAAAATTAAAAAAAAAAAACGACACCTTTAAGAATTAAAACCTGGCCCTGGCCGGTTTGGATCAGCGGTTGGAGCATCAGCCTGCGGTACAGAGAGACCCGGGTTCGGTTCCCGCTAAGGGCACGTACCTCGGTTGCAGTTTGTCCCCGGCCCTGGTTGGTCGTGCGGGTGGCAGCCACTCGATGTGTCCCTTCACGTCGATGTTTCTCTCTCTCTCTTCCTCTCTCTCCCTCCCGCTCTATCTGAACAAAAAATGGAAAAATGTCCTCGGGTGAGGATAAAAAAAAAAAAAAGAAGAATTAAAACCGGAAAAGAAATGCAAAATTCCTCTCCATTTATCTACTAGCCATGAGAGGGTAGAGAATGAAGGTATGGAGATTGTGGTTCATTTCAATAGTCTTCTTGCAAGGGTCACTTAGATTACTTTCATATCTAATAACAAAAAAGGCTGCATTTTCTAATGAAAAAATAGACTAATTTTTTTTTAGTAAAACTAAGCTTATGTTTGTATTAGTTTCTTAGGGCCACCATAACAAAGTACCACAAACTAGATGACTTAAAAACAAAGAAAAGTTATTGTCTCACAGTTCTGGAGGCTAAAATTCCGAATACAAGGTACTGGTATCGCCATGTTCCCTCCATAGATTCTGAGGAAGGATCCCTCCTTTCCTCTTCCAGCTTCTGGTAGCTCCTATGTTCCTAGGCTGGGGCAGCATAACTCTAGTCTCAGATTCTGTTTTCTCATGGCTATCTTCTCCCCTGTGTCTTTGTGTCTTCACATGGCATTCTCTCTCTCTCTCTTTCTGTGTTCTAATTTCCCTCTTCTTATAAAGACACCAGTCATATTGGATTAAAGGCCCACTCTAGTGTGTATGGCCATATCTTAACTAATTACATCCTCAATGACCCTATAGCCAAATATGGTCACATTCTGAGGTTCTGAGAGTTAGAACTTGAAAGTATCTTTTTAAGTGGACATAATTCAATCCAAAACAATGCCTATCTATGAAGGACACCTATTGTGGAAGTGAAAAATCTGATATATGAAGAAATGGATGGGAGATTTTCATTAACTACATCATATTTACCCAAAAAATGTTTCGATTATGTATTTGTTTCAAGCCAGTATCACAGTGTAGAAATTTATAGCCAACACATTTGTTTGATGTCTAAACAACTCAAAGAGGGACACAATTGTCATTTTAAAAGAAAATAACAGATCCAAAGTGTTCTGAAAACATTTTGTTAGTTAACCAATGTATATACTGAGATGGGAGAGCTATCCCACACACCCTAAACTGCTACAACAGGGAAGCCAACTTCATCTCATTTAAGGGCTGACTTTTGGGGTCTGCGTTCCAACCCTTAACTCATGTACTATCAAATTTCTGGCACTTTCTAATCATGGGAGGAGCTAACTACTGAGTGTCCTAACATCTCAAGAATGGGGACAAAAACCAAGAATGCTCCCTGAAACCTATGATATCCTGAACTAGACTCAATGAGATATTTTTATTTATTTATTATAATTAATTAATTTATTTTTGTTACAGATATTTCTCCTCCCTCCCACACACACTGATTCTCCCCTCACCCACCCTCCCTGCCCTGTCCCCAGCTTTGTTGTCCATGTCCATTGCTCATGCATACATGCATATTAATTCTGTGGTTTATCTCTCCCCCCCCCCTCTTCTGGGGATTGTCAGTCTGTACAATACTTCCACGTCTCTGGGACTACCCCATTCCTCAGACTGTTATGTTCATTATATTCCACAAAGAAGTGAGATCATATGATACTTGTCTTTTTCTGTTTGGCTTCTTTTGCTTAGGATAATACTTTCCAGGTCCCTCCATGTTGTCTCAAAGGATAAGAGATCTTTCTTTCTTACATCTGAGTAGTACTCCATTGTGTACATGTACCACTGCTTTTTTATCCATTCGTCTACTGATGGACATTTGGGTTGTTTCCAGATCTTAGCTATTATAAATAGTGCTGCTATGAACGTGGGGGTACATATATTCCTTCTGATTGGTGTTTCAGGCTTTGTAGGGTATATTCCTAGAAGTGGGATCACTGGGTCAAATGGAAGTTCAATTTTTAATTTTTTGAGGTAACGCCATATTGTTTTCCATAGTGGCTGCACCAGTCTGCATTCCCACCAGCACTGTACTAGAGTCCCCTTTTCTCCACACCCTCGCCAACACTTGTTGTTTGATGATTTGTTGATGGCAGCCATTCTGACAGTTGTGAGGTGATACTTGTTTTAATTTCCATCTCTCTGATGATTAGCGATGTTGAGCATTTCTTCATATATCTCTTAGCCATTTGTATGTCCTGTTTGAAGAGGTGTCTATTTAGTTCCTCTGCCCATTTTTTCATTGGGTTCTTTGTCTTCCTCTTGTTGAGTTGTATCAGCACTCTATATATATAGAAAATTAACCCCTTATCTGATATATCATTGGCAATTATGCTCTCTCATACAGTGGGTTGCCTTTCCATTTTAATGATTGTATCTTTTGCTCTTCAGAAGCTTTTGAGTTTGATGTAGTCTGATGTGTTCATTTACTCCTTTGTTTCTGTTGCCTTAGGTGATGTACCAGTGAAAATTCTGCTGCGTATGATGCCTGAAATTTTATTGCCTACATTTTCTTCTAGGATTTTTATGGATTCATGAGTCACATTTAAGTCTTTTATCCATTTTGAGTTTCTTCTTGTGTAT